ACATCTATAATTACATATTGTTTTGTAATTCATCACTGTGCTTTAATTATGTTCAATTGGTAACAATGAAATTGGGGGTCACCACAACAGGAGGAACTGTATTAAAGGGTCGCGGCATTAGGAAGGTTGAGAACCATCCAGTCACTAGATGGATGTACCATTAGCATTATGTGCAAACACTGATTTCCTTCAATCATGAAATGACTAGGAACATTGCGTCTTAGTCTTCTTTTAGTTGGTAGAAGCTATCTTACTTTTTTTTTCCTGCCTCATCAGCTTCAGCTTTTAGCTATTAAATAATGGTACAAGTCCCCCTCTCTCCCTCCCTAAAAGTAAGATGCATTGTATCTTTGCTTGACCCTTGCTATGTCTTATACAAAATCAATAGAATGTGCAGTTTTGCCTGGTCCTACTATGGAAAAGTGGACCACCCACAGGTGAATCCTCAGGTGTGTCAGAATAGAGAGGTCCCCAAAATTGTAGTGAGGAAAAACATACTTGGAACCAAAGCTCTCTTTTGTTTTATGTTTTTGTTTGTTTTTAAATTTATTTTTATTCATTTCAGAGAGGAAGGGCGAGGGAGAGAGAGAGAGAGAAACATCAATGATGAGAGAGAATCATGGATCGGCTGCCTCCTGCACGCCCCCTACTGGGGATCGAGCCCACAACCGGGCATGTGCCCTTGACAGGAATCGAACCCGGGACCCTTCAGTCTGCAGGCCGACGCTCTATCCACTGAGCCAAATGGGCCAGGGCTGAAGCTGTCCTTTGGATGACCAAGAGCAGTGTGCTAGGTGACAGCTGTTACCTGCCTTTGTGCCCTTTCACCATGAATATGGTTTCCGGGGGGGCAGTCAGCTCCCACCTGCCTCCCCCAAAGGTAAGAGACCACAGATTCTCAGGATGGCTGACAGGGCCGTGGAGAGAGAAGTAAGTTGTTTTTGTCCAGGACTTTGAACTCTGTGTCTAGTCCCATGACGGCTGAGTCAATAGATGTAAGATTAACAGCAATTAGACCTACTTAGCAAAAAAAAAAAACAAAAAAAAAACCTGGCAAAAAAAAATACTTTGCTAAAATCTGGGCTAACCAATAACATTATGATTCACCAGTCAAATTTTGTGTTTTCACTCCGATGGAATGGAATGTCCAAATCTAAACAACCCGACTCGCTTGTTTTCAGAATGCATCCTAACAAACATTGGCAAAAATATGTTCTACTTTAAAAAAAAACAAACAAAAACAAACAAACATAGTTTTAGTTGCTTTCATACAGAAATAAAGAGAGATCACTCCCGTATCTAGAAGAAGCTCGGAAGAAGTCGGCAACTTTACATGGTCACAGATCCTCAGGGTCACTGAATTCCAACACATAATGGATTACAATCACCCGAACAGATTTTCAGAAATATTGAGAGTTTGGGGAAGGGTGGCTGTGGGATCTATTTTCCAAAAACCTCCTCAGCTCATTCTTGGGCATTGCTCATCTGACCCAACTACTGATTTACATGGTGACTGATTTTCTTCAGAATTTTATTGCGAAATTGTGGTAGAGAGACCAGACGGGCCGGAGAGTTGGTTTCAGTTCTTGGTCACCCACCGGCGGGGTGACCTTGTATGCACCCTTCATCCTTCCTGAGCCCCCCTCTAACTCTGGAAAGGGCTTCTAGCTCCCACAGCTCAGCAGTGCCTGAGTTATGGGCTCTGGCTGTAAGACCATTAGCAAATGGAACATCTCCCCGTGACATACGGGAAAGGACGCGTGAGTCAGCCTGGGAAAGTTTTAAATTCTAAACAAATGAGAAAGAGAAAGAGAAAGAGAACGAAAACAAATATTGGAGTCCCAATACTGTCACCCACACATTTATCAACTTCAATTGTTTTTCCTGTTTATGTTTTGAGGTGATTATGCGTCTCTTTTAAAGGTTCCTTTTTTAAAATATAAATATAAATATAAATATATATATATATATATATATATATATATATATATATATATATTTTTTATTTTATCAGTTTCCAAGAGGAAGGGAGAGGGAGAGAGAAACATCAATGATGAGAAAGAATCATTGACCGGCTGCCTCCTGCACGCCCCCTACTGGGGACCGAGCCCGCAACCCGGGCATGTGCCCTTGACCGGAATCGAACCCAGGACCTTTCAGTCTGCAGGCCGAAGTTCTAAACACTGACAGTTCCTACGTTGGTTAGTTTTGTCTTGAAGAGGGAACTTCAGCTCCCTCTTATCCTCTTTTGAAATCCTGGACCACTGTCCCCCACACGTCTACCATGCCCTGCTTCCTGCTATTCCCTTCATCTGAGCCCCCTCCCACTCATCTCCGTGCCAACCCCAACATGTGATGGGTGTGGTCCCCAGGGTGCCTGTCCCTGGCCCCTCAGGCTCCAGCACTCCGGGGTCACTGCTTGGGTACAGGTGTCCAGCTTCCCTTCCTCCCAAGGCCCTGTTTGAGGATTCAAGTTATTCATCCTTATAGCGAACTGCCTGACATCTGAGCACTATCAATTTTGACCTCAAATGAAACCCACCATTTTAAACATTTTATAGTACTTTAAGTTGTCATATTCAGCCCTGGCTGGTTTGGCTCAGTGGATAGAGCATCGGCCTGTGGACTGAAGGGTCCCAGGTTCAATTCTGGTCAAGGGCGCACGCCCGGGTTGCAGGCTCGATCCCCAATAGGGGGCGTGCAGGAGGCAGCCAATCATTGATTCTCTCCCATCATTGATGTTTCTATCTCTCTCCCTCTCCCTTCCTCTTTGAAATCAATAATATATATTATTATGTAATATATATTATTATTTAATATATATATTATTATATATATTATATATATTATTATTTAATATATATATTAAAGTTGTCATATTCAGTAACCTAGTGGTTACAAATTAGAACTCTAGCCCAGCTCGCCGGAGCATTGGGCCTGCTCTGAGCCTTCCCTTGCTGGCTGCGCAGTGAGTGGGGTGGCTTCGCTGCTCAGGGTCACGGCACAGCTGGCACACTGCTCCGTCTCTCACTGTCACTTACCATGGCTCACATCCCTGTGACCTGTTCCTTTCGCCTCCAAATCACCCTCCTGTGTGTTTAGTTGAATGACCTTAAGTGGCAAACATTTTGTTGACTTCCCCCAATACCAGTGTATCTATCACACATTGAAAATTGGGGACAGATTCAAGAGACAATGGGCCAAGACGGTGCTCCTGTTTTCTAAAAGTACAAGGTTGAAATGTTAACCGAGCTGTCTAAGGTCTGAGGACTCCAGGGAAAAACTATGCCGTCTCACTGGTGACTTCTGCCTTTTAACTGCTTTACGTGAACGGACGCGGTCGTATCAAGTGGCCGGCAAAGCTCAGAGAGAGCGTTCTCAGTCTCTGCGGCCCTTTCTCCGTCGTAGTCGCCCCACCCCGGAGGGAATTTCACTGTAAACTTGAACCTGTGAGCGTGGGAAGAAGGGAACGTTTACAAGGTTCCCTGGAGGGCCCCCGACCAGCACTGCCAGCGTGGAGCTGGCCTTGGACCTGAACGACACAGGTGCTGTCTGCGCCTTCATCCAAGCGCCCGCGGGGCCTGCGGCCTTGCGCGGTCCGTCCACACCTTGCATCTCGGCCTTCCCACAACAGGGCTAAGCCTCGGTGTGAAATCAAATGGAGCTGGCTGACCCCGAGCAGGAGGAAGGGTCATGGCTGGGCATTGCAAAGCCCCTGTCTGTATCCCAAGCTAACCCCCAAACACCCATTCATTGGCAGACCTGCATTATAATCGGTACGGGGTTCTCGCTTAATAACCGGTCCTGTTGGCTGTGTAGTATTATACTCAATATGCATAACAGTCGGAGTTAATTTTTCACCTCTTTTTCCACCTCTGCCCAAGGAGTACACAGCCTGACTTTTGTGATATACCCAAAATAGATGGATGTATTTTTTGATTAGTTCGTTTTCAGTCAAATTTAATATTGGTTTCTGATGTTAGCATAGTGTACTGATGTTAGTATACCCACGCTAGTATAAGAGTGGGTGGTATCCATACAAATGTTTATGTATATACATATAAGTGTGTGTACACGTGTTTATGTATATGCATACATGTGTCCAAATGTTTATGTACATACTCAGAAGTGTGTGTACACATGTTTATGTATATGCATGCATGCATGTGTCCAAATGTTTATGTACATACTCAGAAGTGTGTGTACACATGTTTATGTATATGCATGCATGCATGTGTCCAAATGTTTATGTACATACTCATAAGTGTGTGTACACATGTTTATGTACATGCATGCATGCATGTGTCCAAATGTTTATGTACATAGTCATAAGTGTGTGCACACATGTTTATGTATATGCATGCATGCATGTGTCCAAATGTTTATGTACATACTCAGAAGTGTGTGTACACATGTTTATGTATATGCATACATGTATGTGTCCAAATGTTTATGTACATACTCATAAGTGTGTGTACACATGTTTGTGTATATGCATGCATGTATGTATCCAAATGTTTATGTACATACACGTGTGTGCACATGTTTCTGTCTATACATATGTGTGTACAAATGTTTATGTATATACACAGAAGTGTGTGTATATACACATAAGTGTGTGTACACATTTATGTATATACATATATGTGTGTTTACAAATGTTTATGTATATACACATAAGTGTGTGTATATACACATAAGTGTGTGTACACGTTTATGTATATACATATATGTGTGTGTACAAATGTTTATGGATACACACGTACGTGTGTGTGCACACGTTTATGCATATGGGAGCGCTGGGCTCTCACTTTCTGCTGGGTACTTGTGTAATTGTCTGTTTGAAGACAGAAGCTATATACGTGGTGAAACTCGGTACAAACTGACTCAAATTTTAATTCTCGAAACCTCCGTTCAGTGAACTCTCTGGCGTACACCAGCTATTACAGCCAGGGAAACCTCCTTTTTAAAAAACTTCTCATTTAGGTGGTGATACTTAGTCAAAATCAAATGTGTTCTCCTTCTTAGGTGAAGGCACCCTCCTACTGCAGCCCGGAAAACACGAATTCCCATTTAGCTTTCAACTTCCATCTGAGTAAGTGCGACAACGGTAACTTTTTAAAATTTTCTTCCCTGCCCCACGTCCATCCACACATGAGGGTACAGTCCCTTTCGGCTCTCGGGTGTGCTCGCTTATCCCGAAGAACCCCCAAACAGACCCGCCCCGGCTCAGGCTCACGGGCACGCCCGGGCACACCTGGGCCCGCCCCTGCTCTCACTCATTTTTCTTTTAACCGAACCAACATGCTAAGAGCTTTGCCTGGCGTGTGTGTGTGTGTGTGTGTGTGTGTGTGTGTGTGTGTGTGTGTGAATGTGTTTTTTAATCTTTATTGTTGCAAGTATTACATAGGTCCTCCCCCCCCCCCCCCCCCTTTAACCTCCTCCAGCCCAGCCCGCTCTGGTGTGGTTACCTGAGCAATAATGCTTAGACATTCATGTCTCTGGCTGCCTCAGGCTCTTGGTCACGTCCTTCAGCGGGAAGTACGGAGGCATTCAGTACTGCGTGAGGGCGGTCTTGGAGAGGCCCAGGCTCCCCGAGCAGAGTGTCAGGCGGGAACTCCAGGTGATCAGTCACATCGATGTCAACACGCCGGCATTACTCGTAAGTCCTTCCTCCTTCCTTCCCGCCCCTGCCCTCCCTTCCTCCTTCCTCTCGTGGTGGAATCCACGCCGAGCCAGTTTAGGGCTCGTCTGCCCTGTCCCTTTCTCGTAACCCCGTGGTTGGCAAACTGCAGCTCGCGAGCCACATGCGGCTCTTTGGCCCCTTGAGTGTGGCTCTTCCTAAGCCTTAGGACAGTGATGGCGAACCTATGACACTCCTTTTTTTGGTTGATTTTTCTTTGTTAAATGGCATTTAAATATATAAAATAAATATCAAGAATATAAGTCTTTGTTTTACTATGGTTGCAAATATCAAAAAATTTCTATGTGACACGGCACCAGAGTTAAGTTAGGGTTTTTTCAACATGCTGGCACGCCGAGCTCAAAAGGTTCGCCATCACTGCCTTAGGAGTTACCCTAATGAAGTTCATAACAATGTATCTACCTGTGTAGTTTCAGTTTAAAAAATTTGGCTCTCAAAAGAAATTTCAACCGTTGATATTTTTTTGTAATATATTTTATTGATTTTTTACAGAGGAAGGGAGAGAGATAGAGAGTTAGAAACATCGATCAGCTGCCTCCTGCACATCTCCTACTGGGGATGTGCCCGCAACCCAGGTACATGCCCTTGACCGGAATCAAACCTGGGACCTTTCAGTCCGCAGGCCGACGCTCTATCCACTGAGCCAAACCGGTTTCGGCGAGTACTGTTGATATTTGGCTCTGTTGACTAATGAGTTTGCCGACCCCTGTACCCATAGGCATTCATCCTACACCTGTGCTCCGAGGTTGAGCAAATGACAAATCGCGTGTGTGAACGCTATGGGCCGCTTCTGCCAACCGGTGACGCAGGCCGGGGACGCACGGATAAGGCTTATTAATAATAATAACGCGGACCCGGAGAGCCCTCACTTCCCCCAGAGCCGCCACACGCACGGGGCTCCACCCTCCCGTAATAGCAGGTTGGGGAGCAGCAATTACGCAAGAGTATTAATCACGCGCAGCCTGTGATTGAGGCCCGGGCCATTATGCTGTGCACCCGGCCCTCTCGCGTGTCATTTGCTAACACGAAGTACGCGCATGCAGCTGTGTGGGGATCCTTTCACTGATCATCTCCTTCTGACAGATCTGGCCGCGTGACAGCATTGAACTTCTAATAACCACCCGGAATACCGCAGCCCGAGGAGAAAGATTGGGGCATAAGTAACAAGGGAATGGCCGCGACGGGGGCTAATGAGCGAGGTTCTTTTATCTAAACCCACATTATCAAAATCATATAAAATTATACCTTGTGCTTTCATGATAGCTGCTGGGACCTAATGGTTCTTCATTTCAATATGAATGATTTTTTTTTTTTTTTTACTTCATAAAACATACTGGGGTCATTCAAACTTTTCATCATGACACTGGCCACAAAGATGTTATTTTAATATGGGAGGTTTCTTTTTTTTTTTTTTAGCTAATGCTTTTAAAGATAAGGGGGAAAGCCAGGAGTTAGAGGAGTTGTTTAACTCTATTTTCGCATGAAAATGGAATAGAATTTACTCGAATGTTCACCTTTAGATTGTGAAAATATTAACAGATATGCCCTGTTTGCACATTTGAGATCCAAATCATAAACGAACTGGCACCCAGGGATCCGGTTTATAGCTATGGCTTACCCCCGGCTTAACACCTTTGAAAACTGACAATGCTACGTGTCTTGTATTTTTAAACACTAATTCGAATTGGAAGATAAACTGTTTATGGGGCCATTGTGGCAAATGATTTAAAGAGCTTTTCTTTTTTGCCAAAAAAAAAAGAGATACTATTATCCTTTATTATTCTTTCTTTTTAAAAAATATATTTTTATTGGTTTCAGAGAGGAAGGGAGAGAGAGTTAGAAACATCAGTGATGAGAGAGAATCATTGACTAGCTGCCTCCTGCACACTCCCTACTGGGGATGGAGCCCTCAACCCAGGCATGTGCCCTTGGCCAGAATCGAACCTGGGACCCTTCAGTCTGTAGGCCGATGCTCCACTGAGCCAAGCCGGCCAGGGCTACTATTCTTTCTATAAACAAAGAAGGAAAACATTGTAAAGTTGGGCTTTACAATGAACGTGTGATCTGAGCATCTTGTAACCCGAGCCTTTTGAGTCTGGTATCATTTCCTTTGCTGCTTGTGGATTGGAAAGGGCGGTGGTGTGTTCATAACCATTGGGATCCTTAACCCTGGGTATGTTTTCCTGCCATTACACCAAAACCACAAGCCATTCTACGTTAAAAACACTGGAAATATCTGCCTAACAATGCATTTTGAAGGAAGTGGGGAGGAAAAAAGGGCCGTTGGCTTATCCCACAGTATACATGCCAAAACACATAGAACATGATGATTATTGATTTTTCTGCCATTTCTCCTTTAACCTGATCTCCGTATTAAGTCTTAAAATAAAATAGTAGTTCTCACATGTTAACAGGGGTGACTAGAGGTGCTGGTTGCTTTTGTAAGGGATGGTATATCATTTCCCGGAAACACAATGACTAGGATGGTCCCACCCTAACGTGAATCTGAACATTCACCTGAGTTTTCCTAAAAAGGGAATGATTTTCAGTGCTTCCTGTTTCAGTAAGTATTCTACCTAAAATGTCACGGGAGATCAGAGAGGTTGATCTGTCTTTCGGAAGACATTCCTTTACAACTCCGTCAGGAAGAATAACATCATTTTCTAAGTTTTGTGAATTTCCTGGACTGGTGTAATTAAAGCTGTTTTATTATTTGGAATTTCCAAGAGCCCCGTATTGAAAACTCAAGAGAAAATGGTTGGCTGCTGGTTTTTCACGTCGGGCCCCGTCTCGCTGAGTGCCAAAATCGAAAGGAAGGGATATTGTAACGGTAAGCACGATGTTTGGAAAGTTCACATGGCAAATGCATTCATTTTATTCGCTAAATTTAAGTGATTTTAAATAATGTGTTTTTGTCATTTCTGAAGTATACACTATTTTAAAACATGAATAATAAATGTTGCTGTTTTTAATGTAAATAATTGATATGTAGCCCGGCCGGCATGGCTCAGTGGTTGAGCATCGACCTATGAACCAGGAGGTCGCGGTTCGATTCCCGGTCCAGGGCACATGCCTGGGTTGCGGGCTCGATTCCCCAGTGGGAGGCGTGAAGGAGGCAGCCGGTCCATGATTCTCTCTCATCATTGATGTTTCTTTCTCATTGATGTTTCTATCTCTCTTTCTCCCTCTCCCTTCCTCTCTGAAGTCAATAAAAATATATTTTTTTTAAAAAGTAAATAATTTATATTTAAATATTTTTGAGTGGACAAGTAGATTCCAATAAAACGCCAGGTATTCCTGACATCAGTCCCGTTACTCTTACGCCTGGGAAAGTGGGTAAATACTGGCATCTTGTTTTCATGTGAAAGAATGTCCATGGCAGTGTTGCTCAGAGGAGAGCTCTTATACGAAAGCGCTGCTGGGCATTCTGACTCCACGCTGGGAATACAAACACTCGGGGCTGGAATGTAGGACACCGGCCAGCTTAACAGTCCGCTGATATCAGAGCTCCCATGTGAAGGGCCCCATTCCGTCCCAGGGATCTGGCCCCCCCCACCCCGGGGTCCCGGATTATCGGAAATGAAGGGGGGATGGTAGGTAGGATGGTGGGCGTACATGCGCATGTAAAACTTGCCCACCATGCATTGTTTTATTCCTGCCTGACCATCCAGTCCTTAAATAAGGCTCCGTTCTTGGGGCGGGGGGGGGGGGGGATTTAATTGGGGGGCACTGAGCTAGTCAGTGATCTTTTGTACTTAATACGGCATTCAATCATTAACTTGTGTGTCTTATCTTAATTTTTAAAGATATTAGTCATTTACATCACTTTAGAACTGATAAGCTAATATCACAACATTAGAAAGTGAATAATCTATAATAGTAAAAGGGTAATATGCTAATTAGACCAGAGGACCTTCCAGACGAAGCCAGGCTGCAAGGGAAGCCCTGATGCCGGGTGCTAGAGGGAAGCCAGTGCTGGCAGCTGGGGGAAGGAAGGCCTACTCTTGAATGAATTTCATGCATCAGGCCTCTAGTCCTATATAATAAAAGGCTAATATGCAAATTGTCCCCTTGATGGGGAGTTCAACCAGGAGATCGACCAGGGGACGGAGACGGCTAGCCAACCACCCACAGCCCCTCCCTCCCGGTTGGCCCCGCCCCCAACCCCCCCCCCCCCAACCTGTGCATGAATTCGTGCACCGGGCCTCGAGTGCAATAAAACAACGTCCACCACAACCTGTAGTGAATTTTCATTCCTCCGACTCAGATTTACAATAAGTTTTCCATCGGGGCTTCTCAAAACTTGTTGGAGTTTTGTTTCGAACCTTCCAGCTTTCCTTGGTTAACAGCTCTACTCCATCGTGGGGAGAACTTCCTGCAAAGTCTCTGAAGGTTTTGTGTGGTTTTTTTTTCCATTTTAGGAGAAGCTGTTCCAATCTATGCAGAAATAGAGAACTGTTCCTCCCGCCTGGTCGTCCCCAAAGCTGCTATTTTCCAAACCCAGACGTACATGGCCAGCGGGAAAACGAAGACCGTCCGGAACATGGTCGCCAACGTGCGAGGAAACCACATCGCTTCTGGGAGCACTGACACGTGGAACGGGAAGATGCTGAAAATCCCGCCCCTCCCGCCGTCCATCCTGGACTGCTGCATCATCAGAGTGGAATACTCGCTGGCGGTAAGCAGAGCTCTCGGCAAAACCAGCAGCCGAATGGAGCAGTGCCGGCGCCATGGGCCTGGGACTATGCACACTTGATACCTAGGGAACTGGCATTTCAGGGCAGCAGCACTGCACCAAACTGTGGACCCTACAAGCAAAACTATCCCCCTACAGCAGCGGTTCTCAACCTGTGGGTCGCGACCCCTTTGGGGGTCGAACGACCCTTTCACAGGGGTCGCCTAAGACCATCGGAAAACACATAGATAATTACATATTGTTTTTGTGATTAATCACTATGCTTCAATGATGTTCAATTTGTAACAATGAAAATACATCCTGCATATCAGATATTTACATGACGATTCATAACAGTAGCAACATTACAGTTATGCAGTAGCAACGAAAATAATTTTATGGTTGGGGGTCACCACAACATGAGGAACTGTATGAAAGGGTCGTGGCATGAGGAAGGTTGAGAACCACTGCCCTACAGGATTTAATTAAATGACATGAAAGAATTCAGGTGCATGGCGGGTGCTTGTTGTATTGAAGGACACGAACTTCCTCTTCTATGGTTATTACGTAAGCCACGCTCACTAGCAGTGAAGTGTGTTAAAGCCACGGTTCCCTGTCCCTGAGTGTGCGCAGTATGTGGTGCACTCCTGTGGTCTGGTCTGTCCTTCCGTTTATTGGGTCTCGACAATGGACAATTGTATGGCGGGGCAGTGGCAGGCGACAAAGGCATTTGTTTCTATGAAAAAATAAATGAATCAGCTGTTTCTGTAAGGTTTAACTTGGTTGGTGCCTTTTCTTGTTTTTAAAAACATATTTTATTGATTTCAAAGAGGAAGGAAGAAGGAGAGAGAAACACCAATGATGAGAATCATTGATCGGCTGCCTCCTGCACGCCCCCTACTGGGGATGGAGCTCGCAACCCAGGCATGTGCCCTTGACCGGAATCGAACTCAGGACCCTTCAGTCCCTAGGCCAGCCGTGGGCAAACTACGGCCCGCGGGCCGGATCCGGCCCGTTTGAAATGAGTAAAACTAAAAAAAAAAAGACCGTACCCTTTTATGTAATGATGTTTACTTTGAATTTATATTAGTTCACACAAACACTCCATCCATGCTTTTGTTCCGGCCCTCCGGTCCAGTTTAAGAACCCATTGTGGCCCTCGAGTCAAAAAGTTTGCCCACCCCTGGCCTAGGCCGACGCTCTATCCACAGAGCCACACAGGCTAGGGTTGTTAGTGCCTTTCTATGTCTTTCATTTCCTTTTTCTTCTTTTTTTTTTTTGGCATAATAGGTGTATATTCACATCCCTGGTGCTAAAAAACTGATGCTGGAGCTGCCCCTGGTGATCGGGACGGTCCCGTACCACGGCTTTGCCAGCAGGAACTGCAGCATGGCCAGCCAGTTCAGCGTGGACATGAGCTGGTGGGCGCTGGCGCTTGCGGGAACAGCCCGAAAGTAAAGGGCCTGCGGTTCTTCGCGGGATGGAAGCTTTGCACGCGAAGTACCCTCAGCACAGGGACGGGGAAAAAGAGTGAGGCCTTCAGATGGGAATTCCTGGCTGCCCCCAGAGCAACCCTTTCTCTTCCTTTTTACTAAAACCCATCAGAAAGTTTTACGAAAAGGCCACTGAAAGTTCAGCTTTGCCCAGGAAAAAAAGGCCTACCTTTTCCTTGATTCTGGGGGAGGAATAGTAAAGGAACGAAAGGGAAGCAGGCTGAAAAGACAGGGCCATAAATTTTTCTTTAGCCAAAGTTCTTTTTTTTGTTTTTAAATAATGCTTTTATTGG